AGCCTGGACGCGTAACAAGGAGGCTTTGAAAATTCGTAGCTAATCGGTCCACTGTTTCAAAGCGTCAGGAGCGTTCAAATCAGTATCGAATTTTTCAGGACGGAGGTAACGGGCCATCGATTATTAGACGAGTAAATTGTTACCAGCGACAGCAAACGAGTACGGTCGAGATGAGAGAGAGAGGACGTGAAAACCGGAAGAACACGCTTTACTCATCTAATAATCTCGGTACATGGGTTAAAAAATAAAAGGAATGACGTGAGTAACAGCATACGGAAACAGAACGAATAGCAAACACGAAAGCCCCGATAGGCTAGGCGTGGTATTGAACCGGACTACAGCAGAGCTGTCTACCACCAAAGTCGGGTGGCGGTGGCGGGGCTCGAACCGCGGACTGTAGGTTCCAAAGCACGCCCATGACGGCGGCTAAACCACTGTGCCACCACCACCTAAGCGACAACAAAAAACAAGACAAAGTGGTTTGCTCGCTGATTTTGTTCTATAGACAACAACCGTTTCATTGCCCTATCGAAGAAATCTATTTGATTGTTAATGAAACCGTGACATTGGATTACTCAGCTCGACGTGAAGCAAAACGCCAATAGTTCCAGTGTTTGTTCTGATACTTTATTTCTGAATCCACCGCATCATATCACGTCACATCATCTTCACTACACCACTGTCGTTCAACTTTGGCGGTCGACAGCCCTGTTGTTGTTGCTATTCAGCTCAACATAAAGCCTAATCAGTTGAGGAATTAAGTGGTTAATCGTTTCAATTCACAGGGCTTAGATAACCGTTTCTTATAAGCGAACAAAACTGGGCTATGAGGTTAACTTCTTCAATCGCTCATCCTGCTGATCAGAGGAACCCAGGGCAAGTAAAGTCAAGAGTGCACTTTACTCATCCAACGTGGACAGAATTTTCAGTGAAAAGAATGTTATCGCTTTTGCTTTGGTATGCGCGCTATTAAAAATGAGCATAGATATGTGACAAATAGTTACTTAGATGATAATGGATAGGACACGGAGAACGCGTAAAAAAATAAAGAAAATTTCGATCTGAAAATTTACATGACTGTATAAGTTCGCTTGATATTCGTTCCCTAGGAACCAACAAACGTGAAAGGTAAGGTACAACGGAGTTGAATAATGGAAAAATATGAGCGCACACTGACGGACTTTCTTTCATAAGCAACTTATTATTTACTATTTTACACTAGTCTGAGGACAGACTGTGTGCCAAACAAGTCATGGCACAATAATCTTTATAAAAAAAACGTTCCATGCTTTGCATGTGGACTGAGTACTGCCAGCTTGCCTAGGCCAAGGCAGGTGAATTTTCTTGGGGAATCCACAACCAGAGCCTTTGGCTAGCCAAAGCCTCACTCACAAGGCAGCGGGGCGGTATCGAAACCGCAGTTCATTGGGAGCCGGTGTCCAGTTCATCGGATCATAAGTCCTTCGGACGGGGTCAGACGTCCAAGGTGCCCAATACAGCTCAATGCCCAATCGATCCGGTGACCACTGCCACAACCGAAAAGGTGTGGGTGAGGTTCGTACGCTTCCCCTTGGTTGGTTTGGAATCAGGGGTTTTAGCCAACTCCCTTAGGTGAACTACCAGTGGTCCACCAGCCCGGTTATAGCCCCGGATGTCGGCTTTTCGTCCTATCACTATGGTGGGAAAGCACCGCCCCGAAAAGGTAGAGAGTAGGGCTTCCACAGCAGAGGCTATTTGAGAAGCTTGGTCGTAAGAGAGCATTTCGCGAGGTGCAAGGGCAGGGTGACCAACCGCAACCCTAGACACCCATCCCCGACCATTCTAAGGATTTCGAGAAGGTTGGATATAACAGTTTGGTGCACAGTACAGCTTGTGGTCATTCACGGCGGATATTCATGGGTTATATAAACACAAGGTCAGTGCCGGGCTGAGGAGGATCACCGAGGGTGAGAGAGAGGATAAATGGGATTACATAGAACGAAACATTATTCAGCAATAGTTGATTAGTGGTTTCATGAAAGGCACTTGATCCGTGATCTAAATGCTCCAGTTTCTGTGTCTCTTTGGTAATCGCAATAATAAATCCGCTAATCCGCTCACAGATGTCGCCTTATCACTTTGAAATGGATTGAAATCAATCGACATTGTGTCAAAGTGCCGGTGTTTCCTCGATGTTACTCAAACTGTGGGATTCAGGTAACTGACAGAATAAGGAAATTTGGTTTGCTCATTCCCTCCACAAGTGACATCATAGTTTTCATTCCGGAAAAATCTGGACTCTGGTCTACCCTACAAAATACAGCGTGGGTCTACATATATCAATGCACTTTTTCTGGCGCATGATAAACAAAAAGTTGCAGACATAATGCAAACTTACTGCTGACTAATTTATCATTTGGAACTGCATTTTCCGGCTCAGGCAGCTCCATATTCTCGTGACCATCTGATTCAACTTCCATAGGCGCATCACGCACGCGATACCACGATAGTACTGCAGGATCATAAGCAATGATATACTGCTTGATTAAAGACTTCCGAAAACAGAGGTACATTTGGCTGATGAGCTGAGTTAGGAATGGATCGAAAAGGGAATCGTGAAGTTCATCAGTGGTTATCAATGGAAATAATAGTGGGAAACAACTAGCTGGGTAAGAATACCTAATTAGGATGACAAGTGCATGATAAAAGCCACTACAATGATGCCAGACAATATCCAGAAAGCCATCTCAATCTGACATAAGGAACCAAAAGCGCATATCTACAGTTATCTGAAGCCTAAACTATGTTCAATTTTTAGTATCATTGATCCCACATGAGAATAACTATATTTAAATTTTCATATCTAGATTAGTCCATTCCATTGCTTCCAGAGATTAGGAATTTTTCATGGTCTGGGGTGTGGGTTTCACTCCTTGGGAGATAGGTGATTTCCCACTAGTTGAATGCATTTATAAGAGACGAAAATATTCGTGATTACCAATAATTGAATGAACTAATCTAATCGCGATGCTCAAAATTTCTTGAACCATCCGCCCAAGGTGATGACCGTCGACTGTGTAGCTCAGGGGTAAGGGTTTGAAATCCCACCCTGAATGTTCTCGGTTCGAGTGCCGATAGGGATACAAAAAGCGCGCACTGCTGATGAGTCCCAAACCCGACGGAACAGCTGACCAGTGCTCATTATCGGTAACCACAAATATCTCCACCGCTTATAACTATTAGGAGTTCCGTTAAAATAACACGATTTAAGCGGATATGGGCGAGAAAACTGAGACAACTGGGAAGAACCGAACATGGAATCTCACTCATTGGGAATCTGATGCAAATTTATCTTCTGAAAACCTTCCATTTTTCTGACGGATGAGGTGATGTCCTGGTTTCATGCGTGAAAAACTCACACAAGTCGATCTTTGAGCATCCACTTCAATTACTAATTGTTCAACAACTGTAGAGGAACTTGTGTGCAGAAACGTCCGGCACAGAACGAGAAACTAATCTAATGCGTGAAATAAATGAAGATCAAGGGATGCAGGTCTGAATAGATAACTCAAAAGGAAGCACGATTCAATGAAACAGAACGGCATCCAG